GCTTCAGGCCTCTAATCTCCAACTTCTCAGCGGCAGCTGACGGCGCGGCCTTCGCAACAGAGTCCATCTTCTCGGCCACATCACTGACCTGAAGCTTCCGGCTCTCGCTCTGCAATGCCCACTTCTCTCTTACACCGAGCTGCCAAAGCCGTGCTTGTCTCCCTTTCGCGCAACTCCTTCTGAGCGATCTTGATGCGATCCAGCTTCCTTTGTGACAGCATCGGAAGACGGTGTTGCGACACACGCTACAGTATCGCTGGAAACACTGCATGAATCTTTGCACAGCTCCGGCAATGTGTGTACAACGGCTGCACGGTTGGCCGCATCCTGCTATTGCAACAAGCCGCTTCTGCGCGCTTTTGATGCGCGTTTCCACTTTCTCCAGCACCTGCCCACTGAAGAAAGGAACATTGCAAATCCACCGGCCGTGGTTTGCGAAAGAAGCACGACTGTTTGTTCAAGAACTCTGTGTCAAAACATCTTCCTTGCAGGCAACCTTCTTCATGGGCGTGGAGAACAGGACTTGCTGGTTGCTTCCTGGGGAACAGGCGCTGTTGAAAGGAAAGAGCTGACGGACCTCTTCGCCTTTAGCATCCAAGGATCGCTTCTGGTCCAGCAGCTTCTGGACTCCCTGAAGATGCACGGCTGCTTCTGATGCGTGTTTTGCTGCCAGCGCCACCACCTCACAAAGGCTGGTGTCTTGGGGTCTTACCCACACACCCATGCACCCTCACTCTGTTGCACCTCGGCGGTTGGAAGCTCGTGCTTCTCGCCCTTTTTCTTGGCCGGCTTCGATGATTCCTTCTCCTTGGTCTTTGCTTTCCTGGCAGTGGCACAAAACAGCAAAGGCTTGCTGGGCCATCTGCCTTCAGCTCGCTACGCTCGCTACAGAAGAGCTCGTGTCCGCCGAGGCTCGCTTTGGGTGTCGCGGTCGCTTCTGCGGCAGCTTGACCCGCAGCCAGAGCTGCCTGCTTCGTGGCAGCTTCTGTGGCTATGCCAGTGAGGGGGGAGGGGATCCCACCTCTGCGAAGTTGAGCAAGGGCTCTGCGATTGTCTCTGCGCGTTCAACCTCGACCTCAGGTCCCATCTTTATGTCGAGGGCGTCAAGGCCCCCCGGTGCCGTGAAGTGCCGCGGGCCTCTGCAGGCATCAGCTTGGCCTCCATCTCGTCAGAGAGATTTTTGGCCTCCACCTGTGCCTTGAAGGTGTCTTGAGCTGCCAAGAAAGGTAGCAGCTTCCTTGGTTCGCACAAAGCTGGCAGAAGGGTGGTCTCTGTATCTCCGCAGTTTCGCCACTGCTCTTTCCCTTAGAGGTCGAGCCGCTGGTTTGCTACTCGCAGTTTCTCGCGGAATGTGCCCAAGGAGTCCGTGGCCTGCGCAGTTGTTTCATCTCAAAGCTGTGCAAAGACTCAGCAAAGGCAAACTACGATAGGCCTTCAGCCGACCCTGATCACTCTCGAACTGCTTTAGCATGCCCAGCTTCAAGCCAATTGCCTTGGCACTTCACTGGCTTGACGGCTTCGTCGTCTATTCTGTATTGTTGCGGCATGCAGTCTTTAAGGCAAAGGCTGTCAGTGCTTCTTTGACCTCACGCGTTCACAAGCTACTGCAAGTAAACAAATTCAAAAATGGCCACGGCAACGTCCTAAGCTTGTCGTTTATGATTTATGACCAAGAGACATAGGAATGAACTTGGTGAAACTGTTGGACGAACACGAGTACAGAAGCGCGCCGGTGGCGCCGTTGATGCACATCGCACTGCTGTCGTCTAAAAATCTAGTTTCACCTGGGCCTCCCCTGCTTTTTGTTGAAGCATCTGGGAGCGCAAATGCACGTAGTTTCTCTTTCGCAAAGCGACAACGACACATCAGTGATGACATCAAGGCTACGCTGCATTTGTCGAGGCACCGCGGCGGCTGCTTGTTTAGCCGACTCCTTGAGCAGACAGCACAACGGTGCCCAAACCCTTTTTTGCAACAGGAACCCTAAACCCTAAACCCGACATGCGCTCCTCGGTCTGTTCTGCGGCCTTCTGCGCCTCGGCTAAGTCATCGCCAGCCTGGGATTTCGAGCACGCGCTGTGTGACGATCCCACTATGTTTCACCAGGTGGTATCAGGATGGTGCACCGAACACCTGGGATCTCCAACAGTGTTGCCGCCCAGCTGCGTGTTCGATCATGGCCGAGGTGATCTCAGCCTTTTCTACTAAGTCCTGCAACGAGCAATGTTTTCTCAACATCCAGCGCTCAGTTGAAGTGTCATGCAGAGCCAAACAACTAGGATAGCCCAGGATAGCATAAAGCATTTACCTCTGCTTCATGGAACTTTTCCATGATCGAAGCGAGCATCTCTTTCAAGAGTTTCTCATCCTCAGATTGGATTCCATGTGGAGCTGGACAATCGAAGATGCCCGTGTAAGCCAAGTTGTTGGCTCGCTGCTCGGAAAGTTTTTCATGTTGCACCCTCATGACCTAGCACGAACGTTGAGCACGTGCTTTGACCACGATCAGAGCCGAGCAAGATCAGAGGACCTGGCCGTTGGTATGAGAGCCTGCGAGGGGACGTCACGACTCCGAACGTCACAGAAGCAGAAAATTCGGCCTTGATCCTGGTCGCGGCGTCAGTCGCTGCAACGTGCGTCCGTCGGACGCGCGTCCTTGTAGCAGCTTTAAACTTTGCTCTTGCATGCCTTGCATGTCAACAAAACCCTGCGTGCAGGATTTCAGTTCCCAGCTCCACTGCCCGTATGGCATCACCTGCACACAACGTAACAACAGAGGCTGCGACTCTGCATCCATTGATTCGCCTAGGCCAGAAGTCTCCAGCACTTTGAGCTGATCGAGAAGCGCCTGCGCACGTCCATGGAAAAAAGCATCCAAACATCGGTCGCATGCAATGTCTAATCTGCACGTCTCTTCCAACTCTCCACATCCTCTGCGAGCCTGGAGGTGCGGCTTCAGCGCCGCCTGAAGAAACAACGGGTGTGTAGCCTACTGCGGAAAACGATTCCAGTTCGCGTGCACTCTTGAAGACCCTACATTGCCCTACATGTTCGCGCGTCTGGCAGTCCAGCGCGACACAACCAGGATACGTCACCCAAACAGTTTCGGCACTCTGGGCACAATCGCCCCGCCCAATGCATCCGCCTCCGTCTCCTTGAGAAGTGTTGGGTCAAGGCCTCACAGCCACTGCAGATGCCCAAAGCTGTTCTCAAAAGAAGTCGAAGGCACTATTCACACAGCAACCGGGCACCCGGCTGCCATGATCCCGCTCACTGGTGGCTTCTTGGTCGCGCGGTGCTCTTTACTCGAAAAATAGCGACCAAAGCGGCGCTGAGCCAGCAGCTGGCTTCCTCGGCTGCTTTCTGTGCTGCATTGATGACATGGGTCGCCTCCTGCTCCAGAACCTGTCTTGTGAGAAGAAGCGGAACTAACATCAGCGGGAGATTTCCTGCCTTGGCACGACCGGCGCGTTCTGAGTTTTCTCGCTTCACTTTGTCTGTCCTGTCCGTTGGTTGTCGCATCTTCAGAACGCCAAGTCCAAATAGATTCACAAAATTGCCCGCAAGGCTAGTAGCAAAATCTGCGGTGATGCTCCTCCAAAGTTTACCCCGGCCGACCAGCAACCATTTGCAAAAAAAGTTTGCTACAGACTGCGGCTCTTCGTGGTGTTTCATAATTTTCTGGCACGCCCACGCCCGGACCTTGGCATCATCAAGAAGGTGTTGCGCGGCGGCCTCGGCGGAGTTGCCACAGAAAGTCAACCGCGCTACCGCCGCTGTAAGACAAACTCCGAGGGCTGAGCCCCTGGAAAGGGATTTTCCAGCCTTTGAGGGGAGGCAGATACGCCTTGTCCGGGCCTCAAAGCTCTCAGATCTTGATTTGCATATCTGAATTCTCTGACTGATACTTGGTCTGAGTTGTCAACAGTGCGACCAAACCTGGCAAGTCAAAACCAGCCTGTTGCTGGGGCCTCGCGGTGCTGCCCGAAGCCACTCGGCGAGCCTCGTTACCGCCAACAGCCTGAAGCAAACACTGCGGATGTGGGCTGCATGCATGTCGCGGTGCGAAGCCTTTCCAAACCACCAGCCCTCGAAAGAGGAGCCATCGCGGCCGTCCCAATAGTAAACGTACACCTTCCAGCGCGCCACTCGTGACTCACTCGGCCCAGCTTAGGTTCCCCGACTCCCGTTTCCGCCTCTGGAGGCGCCGTCCCTGGTCTAACGGGCCTCAATCGAATCTTGTGCTCTGCTGTTCTGCCCTGCCCTGCCCTGCTCAACCTAGGGTGGCTGCAGCTTCTGATAGAAGGGTCGGCCGTGGTTCTCACCCTTCACCTGGATATGACAAAGCACACAGAGGAGGCGGACATCAACTTCACTCTGAGGGCCCAGCCACGAAGTCCCCGCTTAGGGTTTGAATCACGAACTGACACATCATGCAGGTGGCAAAGCCGCGTTGCTTGCAAAAGGGCGAAGCCGGCCGCACCCGGCCTCTTCCTTGTCGTTCCCTTCAGAGAATGCAACATACCTTACGCAGGGTGCATCTCAGCCGCGGGCCAGTATCCCCCCTTGACTCGACTACTGCTATTCCTCCCGCTGTACGTGCCAATGCCCTCCCAGTCCAAGGCAGAGGCCTTTCCTCTCCCGCAGGCTTTGAGGAGGTGCTCCTTACATCATGGCGAGCAGAATGCTTGGCCCCCCAGGTTTTGTGATGTGGGCTTCATAAGGCCCTTGCATGCTTGACAGCGGCATGGACTGCGGCCATGTAGCGCCTCGGTCGTGCAAACGATTTCTTTCTGTCTGGGAAAAACGCCAGGCACCCACGGCAGGTGGGCAGCAGAATCACCCTTTTTTCGCCCAGCCCGTCGCCAAAGCGTGCACTTGCTGTTCAACCTCGCACTCCTCGTCGCCCACGGATCCCAGGGGCAGGGGCAGCCGGCACGATGTCGACCTCTCCTGAAGCTGAAGCCTCTGTGATGGGACGCTATCCAGGCGCAGGGCCATCCAGCAGTTGCTGCAGCATCTGGCGGTAGCTTAGCCGGAAACTGGCAATGGCGCGGCAGGCCTGCGAGTTGCTGGTATCAGTCCGCACAGCTTCATCCTCCTCTTTTGGGGGCAAGTCTTCCATCATTTGCTGAACCTCCGCCAAAGCTGGAAGTTGCAGCTGAGATGTTCGGGCGAGTTTGACGCCATCAGACAACACGATGCTATCCAAGGGGTTCTCTGGTAGTACGAAACCATGGCTTGTGCATAGTTCCAGGTTGTCCAGCTGCCCATAGCAAATCAGAAGCTCGTCGCCAGCCACGACTGTATCTTGGGTGACGAATGTCAGCCGTCTCGATGCCTGGTCATACTGAACCTCCACACTAGCTGTAGCCGCATGGTTGATCATGTCACCCAGTGGCACACAAACAGCAACCTTGCTGTCATCGCAGAGCATGCCGAAGCGGCGACTGAAGAGTATGGCCAGTGCTCGCCTGAAGCTGGCTTTGTCATCAAGACCGGCAATGACGCCTCGGACCGTGTGAGAACACATGTTGGCTCTCTTCGGAGAATCTACCCTGGAGAAGAGATGCTGTGGCTGGATGTCTGTCACCTGCATAACAGAAGCCATTTACTAGGGTAGAAGGTTGGGCATGATCTGAAGCAACATCTAGGCCCCCTCAACATGCAACCTCCTCCTTTCCCCAGCTTACAGAACAACGAAGCTGCTCTGTGGCAAGATCTGGCTCAACTGCTTGTGCCACTGTGGCAGCTTGCGAGCCAGATCGACCGCCTCCTGGCTTCAGGAAAACCCATGGGCTGTCACTGGGCTTCTGGGATTGCTTGATTGACTGACTGGTTGGTTGCTTGATTGATTGATTTAGGTGGGTGGGAGAGTGGGTTTGGGTTGAGGTGGTGGCGGGTTGCGGTGGGGTAGGGGGTCGTGTGTGGCACGAGCTGCCTTAACTTGATTGCCGAGGTGCTTAGAGTGAGTGGCTAGGCTCGGTCCATTGGTTAGCAGCCTGTGGAAGATTTTGTCGTAATTAGGTGCGGCTCGGCTTTCGGCTTGGCTAGGCTGGGCGCCTTTTCTTTTGGTGCGGCTTGGCTTGGCAGCGGCGTCTTTCTCATGGTGCGGCTTGGCATAGGGTGCGGCTCGGCTTGGCTGCGACTTTTTTTTGGCTAGGTGCAACTTGGCTTTTGTTCGCTTGGCTTGGCTCGGCTTGCTTTCATTTTTGGTGGGAGTGCCTTTATTGCCTCTAGGCGGGGCTCGGCTTAATTCGGCTTCCTTCTTTTGACGGAGTTTTGTTGTTTCGAAGTGCAGCTTGGATAATTAGCAGAAATGCAGGTCCCGGGTGTTCCACAGCTTGTGGGCCCACATGAGTTTTCCGACTTCTCAAAGCACTTCGAAGTCGCCCTCGTCGAGCCGCGAAGGCTTTGGTCCGAAGCTGCGCCTTGAAGAGCTCGGGTGGACCGCGCTGTGCCGCCCGCAGCTCGGGCTCGCGCCACTCCGGCCAGCTCCCGCACTCCCGAGGAAGGGATCGAAACCTGGGCACTTCAGAGCCAGCTCCGGTGCTTCCGGCTGGGGCAGGAACATGTGGCAAAGAGCCGTAGAGGTGGTGCGACTGCAGTTCGGGAAAGTGCAAAGTTTGTCGACCCGAGCCTCAAACTAATCTGGGCTGCAGCTCTGGAGCCAACATGCCCATCGCGAGGCATCACCCTTCTGTATTTCGGCGCAAAGAAGCTCAGTCAGTCGAAAGAGCCTCAAGTTCCACATCAACATCTTTCAGCAGCCACAACGGACGCCGAAACTGTGCGGAGGGGTTGCGGGCAGGCGCGTAGTGCAAGGCATGAGGGGCTAGGAGGTATAGGAAGCAGTAGGCAAACAGGCCAAAGGGGTGTAACTCGCAGCTTGCTGAAAGAATATTGCTACCATGTCGGGGGAGCTGGACACTTGAATGCCACTGAGTTTCACAACGAAAACCCAAGCAGGAGATGAGGGCACGCCGTGCACCGGCCGATTGTGGGATGGTGCTCGGCGGGGTTTGAACAGACAGGCAGAAGTGTGGCGAAGGCTTGAGTGACGGGATCTGCACATCTGCAGCTGAGGAACGAGTTGACCGGCAGGTCTGCCACACTTGGGTCTGCTGATGACCTGATCTAAATGCGGGGGCTGTCGAAAATCTATGCTCAGTCGTGCTGCTTTTCGATTTTGCAGCGAAATGTCCAGCAGCAACAACAACGAAGACGACTACAACCACATCGGCATTGCGCCCCACCACCACCACCACCACCACCACCACCACCTCTTCCTCCTCCACCTGCTATTGCTGCTGCTGCTGCTGCTGCTGCTGCTGCTCCTCCTCCTCCTCCTCCTACTACTACTACTACTACTACGACTACTACTCCTGCTGCTGCTGCTTTTACTACTCCTCCTCCTGCTCCTCCTCCTGCTGCTGCCGCCGCCACGACACTACCCCTAAAAGGCATTTTTACTAACAGCAAAAATGGCATTCATACAGATTTGGCCAAATAGGACTAGCACGCGGCGCGGACCGTAGCCAGAAGACCTACATCGGTGAGGATAAAAACAGTGATAATAACGATAATGATAAGGATAAAACAACAATAAGAATCAGAATAACGGTCAGGATGAGTCACAATGACAATAAGGACAATGATGAGGATGATGGTGATGACCATGATGAAGCTGGTGATGATTTACTGGTAGTCACAACTGGCGGACAGGGCACAGGCATGCTTCCAAAGGAAGCGACAAAACCTTAGAGTCCGCTGAGAGCGTGGAGGAGGCAAAAAGCCCACGACCGCCGAGAACAGAATCTGCTACATGGACACCTGCAACGGGTAGCCCGCCCTTCCAGAATAAAACTCTACTCGAGCTGAACCGGCAAAAGTCGCTGCATGAAAGCACCTTGAGAAGTGCTCCTGCATCTTATTATTTGGCAGGACCGGTGCCTGGAGCCAGCTCGCCACCATTGTCCAGGAACCACTCGTGGAGGTCAGAGAATGACATGCAGCTACAGATGCCACACGGTGCTGGCTCCAGCTCGCCCCATGTTTTTGGTGGGGTGGGAGCGAAGCCTAAGCCCAAATGTCTTGCAGGGTCTAGCAGTCTAGCACCTGCAAGCGACAGAGTGTGCATCGATCATCGCTGCCACCCACAGACACCTCCGAGACCAGCACCCAATGCGGCCTGGCTCGAATAGCCGGCCTCACAACACATGCCCAGTCGAGTCGCTCTCACTGTCACTACCACGATGGGAAAGGCAAGAACACGGCCTGCACTGCAGGTTGAGCTGCGTACCTGCTCGGTTCCATCAAAGCGAGCTCTCCGGACCTAGATGTTCTGGCGCACGCATACTGCCGCTGGTGTGCTGCGGCCTGAGGCGAAAGCCAAAGGCAAGCAGGGGAGTGCCGCTGACAGCGTAAGCGGTACAGACTCCCAGGCCGCGGCAGCCCAAGCCGCGTGCTGTGCGGGCACGAAAGGGTTTGTCCTGAGGCGCAGAACGTCTCGGAAAAAAACTAGAGGTCCCTCTTTGGGTGCCTTCAATATCGACATCCTACTGGTTTGGCTTCCCGCACATGGTTCACGCCATGGTCAAGGAATGTAGGGAGACATCTGACCCTGTGGATTCAGACTGAGGCAGTGTCCCCGGCACAAAGGGCTGTGCAGGATTATACCTTGGATCCACATAGACTCACTGCACTCCGTCTCTCATGTCGACTAGCATCTGACATCTTAGAGATTGGGGCCCTCACCCCGCCCCCCACATGCTGGCAAGCTTTGCTAGTGTGTCTTGCTTTGTCACGTGTGTTGCGGCTGCTGCTTAGGTTGAAGCCTGCTCCTGAACCTTCTTGTTGAGTCTAGCTGTTTCACTAGGTTTGGTCTGAAAACTCACTGTGGTTTCTTCCAGTCGGGCATAGACGGGACAACAGTAACTTGAAGCTAGCAAACTCTCTGTCCCGTCATGTCTGAGCCCGGACACCTCGTGCCCAAAATTGCTGCGGAATGAAAGGCGGCCGTCGCGCGAGATGGCTCCCTAGGCTCTGCGCGATGCAAGCACAGGCGTCGAGAGTTTAGCAGGCAATACCAAGGTGCCGCTGATTAACCCAACTCTCTTTGCTTTGACTCGCGCCAATGCCACCCGCTGCTGAGTTGGGCAAAGGGCAATAATGCCTCACTTGCCTTTCACTTGGAAAGGCTTGAAGATCTCCCGGAGGGTCAGGGCCAGCTTCCTTGGTATCCCACCACACATGCCTCCAAACACACCGGAGTAGCTGTCCAGGCTAGGGTATAGCATCGCATAGCGATTCGGAAGCGCGGGTGTTTTGTCGAACCGGTAACCTTCCAACTTCAGGAGTAGAACCTGCCGTGGATGAGATCTTTGCTGTTCCGCATACCTGAATGGACAACCCGAAGCGATGAAGCTTCGTTCATTCATCGGTTGTGTTCTGTCCGGCCCGGTTTTTCTCACGCCTCCCTCCATCATTTGGCCTGCTTACCAACGTCCGAATCACAGAGCACAGTCGGGGCTTCGGGCTGACACAGGCAGACCGTTTCACGAAGTGACGCAGCACTCCCCAAGCAAAGCTGAGGCACAATGGATGTTCCGAGGCTTTGACTTCCTTGTGTTGGATCGTGGTCTTGTGGAGAACAGTTCTCGATCGTCGGAGCGATAGCTGCACATGCCACGCAATCCAAAGCGATGTGTTGGCAGGGCCTGCGTGAGATTTTGCAACTTGCAAGTGGCAAGCAGCCGTTACATTGAGCTTGAAATGGGGGGGTTCCAGTTTCCTCAGATTTCATCCGTGTTTGCACGCCTCTTTCGCACCAGACATCGAGCACATATCTGGGCACATGCATCTAGTCCATGAGCATGATTGAAGAAGCCAGCAAGATGTGGCAAAGTCACAACCACCAACGCCAGAGCAAGCAGCAAGAAGCTGCTGTACATGCCCCGGGGACAGCACAACTAGCGCTGCCGGGAAAAATCCGACCTGATGTAAGCTAGAGGCCTACATCTCAAGACTGCAACAGAAACCAACAAAGGGAACATTCAAGCATGAGCAGCTGCATGGACCACTTAGATCGACGACGGCGAGGTGAAAGAGACAGAATGCGTAGGACGACAACCGAAAACGTTCGCAGTGGATGGCTGTGCAGTAGCAACAAAACACGCACTACGCGGAGAGTGCAAAAAAAGTTGCAGGCGGGACTGCCAGCAGCCGCGGAGCTGGCATCAGGCATCATCGTGTTGCAGCAACCACTTTTGTCCACAGCATCACTGCCCCCCCATGTCATCTTCACAGCACTCAATACTGCCAGTGGAAGTTTTCATGATTAGGTCTGGAGCATTGGCACGATGAAAAGATGTATGCGGACGTCCCTATTCGCTATCTCTAGTCGCCGGCAGATGGATCTCAGTGCCAGGCTTCTCGCCTTCCTTGGAATCCTGGCACTGTCGCCAGTCGACCTGCCGACAAGGACGGGCCTGCGGCTGGCGCAAGCTGGCCACTCATCTTGGCCTTGTCCTCGCACCCAAGAAGTTGGCAGGCAACCTGCCAGAGCTCCAGTTCTGACTTCTTCGACTTCTTGCCGCTTCTGCACAACCCCGCCTGGCGACCGAAGTTAATCGGTATCCTCCTCGCGAGCACACATGTTTGTGCCTCCTTCCGAAACAGCGAAACACGACCGAGCCCAGAGCGGGCCGCCACCATTCGGCAAAGCGGCCTGTACCGCAACACAAAAGGCGCAGATCCCAACGGCTGGAATCGCATGTAAAGACCATCTCGAATCTCAAGGTAAGGTGGTGGCGTACAGAAACCGCTCGATCTGCCGACCTGTCACAGTTCGACACCACAGCTGTTTCATCATGTAGTTCCTCTGGCCCCTGAGAGGCCAAAGCAGAACCCAAAAGCGTCAAGGGCCAAGGGAGGAGTTGGGCTGAAGATCACCCAAGACTCCTCGGCAGCTCCTCTGCCAACACCCTTTCTCTAACTAGAGATCGTGTAGCTTGCTCGGCAAAGCAAAGCTTCATCACGGATTGTGCGCCTCTGGCGCTGAGGTCGCCAGGGATCTCGAAGTAGATGTAAGGAGTGGTCTCGGCATGTCGAGCGTCAGGCACTCTTTATTCAGCTGGTTGGCCTCATCTCCCTCTGCCCAGAGCGTGAAACCCTTAACCCTAAATCCAAAACCCCACATCATGCACACAACCCTCTTCCGATACCCCAAACCCTGCAAACCAAGACCCAAGAACTCCTACTGTATCCAGCTGCTCTTGCCAGCTGGTAACGGCTCGGCTCCCCACTGGGTCATCGTTCAAGTTGTCAGCCACCTCGGAGTCTTCAGGAGAATCAGGATCCTACTAATTCCAGAAACCCCAGGACACTTGATTGCCCGACAATATGAACGGCACCAGAGCCTGGAGGATTAGCGCAATGATTCTGACTGCAAGGCTATATAGAACCTGCAGTCTAACCCGAGATGATACGGCTTCAAGCGGCCGTCACACCGACACCCCAACAGCCGCTACAATCTCGAGCCGCAGAGTGATGAAGTCAGGACTCAACGGGCCCCTGCGCCTTCTCATGACCATGTGGGTAGTTCTCAAAATCAGGGTCCCTTTCTAGGTCACCCATATAGTACGGCACCCTTACAAAAAGGAGCCCAAAAGGGACCCTAATTTAGAGAACTACTCATGTGTTTTCTGAAGCGAACCGTCCGAATCCTGGCAGACTTGAGAGGCTCGGGCGTCTTCATGGCTTGATATCCGCTTGAACGTTGCCTCCGAGCCGCAGCTGCAAGTCACCGATTCACTAGATTGCTACAGCACTCTAGTTTAGGTGAATGTAACCGAAGCCCAAGATTGTGTCTTGATGAAAGAGAAGACATTCACGCTTCGATTTAGCAACCCCTGAAATGGGCCAGAGTCTCACTCCAGTGCCAAGCACATGACAAAACCCACAGGGGCTTTAGCTTTAGCCCCCACTCTCGTGTTACTTCACTGGGCAAGGCTGCGGTTTTTCGGTTCATCCAAGGGTGGAAGCTGCATTGTTGACTTGGCAACGGTGCACACAGCTTGGCTGAGCGAGGCACGCCGGCAAGATGCTGCTTCGTCGCCGCCTGCTCTCGAGCCAAGCAATCCCAGCTGTAAACCTGTAGGCCTGTGGTACATGTGACTTCTGCGCAGGCTTCAACAGTCAGCTGGTGTTTCATCCCACCGCACTGTACTCACTCCCAGTTTCTGACATGCGATCCCTCTGCGAGACAGCGGGATGGTTGCCCGATCGACTTATCACAGTTCTCTCGCTGGATGCTTCCCAGTCCTCAAGTGCTTCTCTAGCTTCGGCACCGGCACCTCAGTTGGACCGAAATGCAATGGCCGAGTTCGCAGGTCTCTTTGGGTCTTCTCCCGCGCCGAGCTTTTCTCTGCAGAAAGTTCTGCCTCCATCGAGCAAAAGGCTGGCCTGATCGGCCCACAGCTCCCAAAAAAAAGGTACAGCCATCGTCTCGTCCGCCAACTGTAACAAAGGGGCGAGTCGAATGAAGATGAAGCTTTAGCTTCGGAAGATGGGACCGCTCATCCACCCTGGAGATCTCAGTCCATTCATCGGTCTCTGCTTGTCAGCCTTCAGCTTGCAAGCTCAACACGACCCTCCGAATTCGGAAGCACGCAGGTTAAATCACCAGATGTACCGGCTCAGATTACTGAACCCGATGACAAGCCTTCGTAGAAGGCAAAAACTAAAAATAACCTTCCCACTCAGGCGTCGCCTCTTTTGAGGTCGCCCTTTTCGGGAGAACTACACCAATGCAGGACGTTCGGTCGACGAATGTCGACGATCGCACGATGCGGCTAAACTACCTACACTCCGATCTGCAGCTGCACAGTCTTCAGGCGAAGCACTTCTCTGGCTTCCCGCGGCTTTGGTGCACTTGGCTTCCTCGGCGAATGCAGGCCATTGAGTTTGCAAGTCTTGTCGCCTAGACTCCGATCGGACCACTATCGGCAGCGTCTCGGCATCAGCGGCTGCGTTTTTGCTCGCGAGACCGGCCTCGTGGCATCAGCGTGTCGAAGTCTAATGCCACGTGCAAGGCAGTGCAAGAGCGCTCTCTTCCAGCCTTCCCTCCCGCTCTGGGGCAGGTTTGCTTCTGCTGCGCAACGCTGGAGGGAGATCGAACCAGCCCATAGACGCTCCTGGTCCTGAGCAGCATGGTGACGCGACAGTGCGACAGCAGCTCAGAGATCGGCAGTGGCTACAACTCTGTGCCTTGTGCTTCGGAGACTGGTTGGCTCTGCGGGCGTCGAGCATTGATGTTCCAGCCTAGAAACGAGCATGTTCAGTGTAATCTCAGGAGCACCGAATCGATCACGATCTGGCGAGAGAATCATGGAACAAAGCCACCTTGAGCAAGCTTGGCCGCTCCTGCTTGAATCTCCTGCAAGTTGAGCATGCCAAGGATGTTGCAACTATGTTCGCTTCCCAGCATGCACTCCTTCCACTCATCTGTTTCCATGCCGGCAAAAGGGAGGATCTGTACATAGTTCCTGCCTCAGCACAAGAAGGTGGCTGAACCACCGCCCCTCTGATTTTAAGACTGTGGCTCCTAATTTGGGTTGCCTTGCCGGCAAGGAAACGGTGCTGCTGTGCTGGCGAAGTGCTGACAGGGGTGCCAAGGAAGCAGAATTCGTCGTCGCATTCCTCCCAGTCACTTTCCTCCTCCGACGAGCTGTCATCGCTTGATGACTCGCTGTCTTCAGCAGTGCCGCCCTCATCAATCTTGTCTCCTCCCGTCTTTGGCATCTGCGACTCGGTGCTAGCCTCGCTGTCAATGCATCAACGCATTGCAAACCAAGCCGCCGAAAATGACAAGTATGTTTTCTGCATCTTTCACTGGCAAGTTCAAAGCCACAGCCGAAGCCAGGGCTTGAGTACAATCCCGCATTCTGCTTCCGATAAGTTTGCCCGGGCAAACTTGGACGTGCCTCGCCAGGTTCGTGACGACTGGTCGCGATTGGCGGTAACTTCCTCTGGCCCAAGGAGCTGAGGAAGCCCACGGAACACCTAGCAGAAGTGCATGAAGCGTTGGGCTTGCTTTGGCTAAGCGCTGGCCCAAAGCCCCAAAGGCCTAAAGGCTGGGGTAGTGGGGTAACCCCTTCTTTGCATGGGACATCATGGGACACAACGTTCGAAAACATCGATCGGAAAAGCACATCTGGTTGAGTCTTTCTCAAACCTCGCTACGGAGAGGCGCACCGCTGTTGGCTGTTAGATCGGGTCGCTGAAACTGGGGCAGAGCGTGTACCAAATCTGAGACGAGTATTAAGTCACTGAGTCAAGTCTGATGCTCTGCTCTTTCTCTCTCTCTCGCTCTCTTGCATGCTTGCTTGCGCCAGGTTTAAGGCCAGGGTATTGCTCCTACTAACCAGCTCCCCGAAAAGAAAACATTCGTCCAGCGTCCAGTGCCACAGACAGTCGACGTGAAACTGTTTGGGCACATTCCTGCCCCAGGTGGTAGCCCTGCCTACGAACTAAGCACTCAAATCATCCCCCGCATAAGCAGGTAAGTAGAAAAGGGTATCTCGCAACACTTTTGCACGTCACCGGCCCCCTGCCATGGCTGAAGACGAATTACTTGCTTGCCCGTGGCGTTCGACACACCAGAGACACACTGATTTGGATTCGACAACATTCGAAACAGCTGCCTTAGGGGGTGTGCACGGCAAACATGCATGGAGGGCCTCAACGGCCATCTTTAGAGAATCATAAGGGAGGGTGAGGGCCCCGGTGCGGCTCGGGTTTGGATGGCTTAGCGGCCCGTCTGGATTGGGGCGCATGGTTTTGCAGGTTCTGTGTTCTCCACACCCCACGCCAGAAAGAGAACTGTGCAAAACTTGCAGACGCAGCTGGTGTTTATCGCATCGAGCGCTGCTTCGGAAGGAAACAACAGAAAGCCGTCCCGATCACCAAGTGGGGCTGCGCAGGGAGGCCCCCGCAAACCCTGTGGGGTCCAGGGCAGCAGCGGTCACCCGGGGAGAACGTTGCAGAGCAATTTATCGGGCAAGAGCGTGCGGCAAGATCAGGGCGGGGGGTAGTGCGGCAATCGCGCCGGAAGAAAGGAGGCAAGGGAAAAGCGGCCGGGTTGAGGGTCCCGGAGCTCCTTGTCCAGCAAGAGGAGGAGAGAGAACCCTCGGGCGGGGGGGAGACTCAATCTTTCTTCTTTTTTCGGCCTTCGATCCACATCATCTTCCTGTGGGCCCCTGAGGTGGAGCTGATGCTGCTGCCCCGCGACTGAGCGCACTACCATGTACGCACACATGAAAGTTGAACAAGGGGCTCTCCAAATCCCCTTATCAGGGCACGGGCTAGTCGCAGAAAGCAGTGTGCATACGGCGTCGCGTGTGTTAGGTGACACTTGCAGACTCACTGGGACCTTCAGACGTTCTTCCGCGCTGGTCGCCGGCCGGCTCAGCACTCGGCGTCCACGTCAAAGGAAGCCCATCGTTCCAGGCCCGCATCCATTCCGCCAGTCCAACTACTTGCATCCTCGACAGATGTTCAGCGGTCCATGGCAGCGTTTCCATCTGGCTCAGGTTCTCCTGCTCGAGCTGGGTAGCTTTCACCCCCGCTGCTTTCGGTGTGCTTTCTGCAGAGTGGCGGTCCCTTGCAGGCTTATCCCCGGCTTTGTCATTGCCGGGCAGGTCCCTTCCGCATCGGCTCCGCTGTCCGCTCTTCGGCGAGCTGCATTTCTGCTGGCGAACGTCCCACATCTCCTCAGCCTCAGTGCCCGGCTGTCGTCGTCCTCAGCTGTTTCGTCTCGAAGCTCACTGCCTTGTCGGGAATCCGTCACCACTTTCCATTGCTCCAACAGCCGTCACAGGGTTGGCCTCCTCTTCCTCATCGACGAGAATCACAACCCCATTCCACAGCCCTTCGTTCCAGGCCGCCAGGTGGTTCTGTGCGTCAGGACTGTGTGGATGTGTGGAAGTCTTCCCCGAAATCAGCGGGGTTGCCGGTTTTGAGCACGTAGGGCATGTCGCGGGTCCCGCCAGCCCCTGCCGGACTCTACGCTCGATGCTGCTCTGGAGACCCTGTTCGTAAGTGGCGTCCTCGTGCAGCTGGTCAAGGCCACGCAGCATTCTCCTTGACGATGAAGGCCTGACAGCGGAGGTACGTAGGGCCGGCCTCCAACCGACAACGGTGCCCCGACGAAGACGACGCCCGCAGGACCGACGGCTTGGCGCCATCCTGGCTCCACCGACTGTCCCAGCGAGTCAAGGACCGGCGGTGGGTATTTCTTGGGCATGGGCGCCGACTTCTTACGCTGGCGGTGCCCGCACCTCGGGCAAGGAGCGGCGGCCCTTTCCCGCAACCCCCCCCTTCGGCATCGAGGAGGTAGGACTCGAGTGCCGTGCCCTGGTCGGAGTCGTCGTCCGGTATGGGCACCAAAGCGGCCGAAGCCGCTACCTGGCGGTGGGACGTCGAAAACGGTCGAGCCGGCGATGCTTCGGGGCTCGACCACGTAGGCTTGTTCCTATACACACGTGTGTTTCACTGCAATCGCGGAGGAAGAAGAAAGGCAGAGCAGAAAGGGGAAGACGGCCGGGTTTGGGTGCCGAGCCCCGTGTGTGAGAGAAGAGGAGACGAGAAGACCCTCGGGCGGAGGGCGGGAGACTCGGCCGCCCGAACCACTTGAGCCAAAATAGCTTGAGCCCAAACGGCTACACCTTTAATCTCCCCCTCTCTCTTTCTTTCGGCAGGGTTAGGGGCAGAGGAGTTTCCCCCCCTCTCTCTCTCTCTCTCTCTCTCTCTACCAGGTGGGGGGAGCTGGGGTAGGCCCGTCTCTCTCTCTCTCTCTCTTTGCTTTGCTTTGCTTGGGGATTGAGGCTCCAGCAGTCCTGACGCCCCGCGCTCTAGGCGCTTCCCCTTCCACCCTATTTGGCCGGAAGGGCTCTGCTGTACTCAGGTCTTGCGCACCAAATGGTTGAACTGTGTTGTGTGCCCCCGTGCGCTGGGTTCCTCTTGCAACACACAAACAGACATCGACATCAACATAGACCGCTCTTTCTTTCTTTCTGCAAGGCTTAGGGGTCGTCCATGCGACCCTCAGGCCATAGGCCGCCCGACCACCCGATGTTTTGCGGAGTGGCCGCAAAAGGGGACAAAGCCTGCCCCGTGTTTGCAGCTGCAAGCCCCCTTCCTCTCCCCTCTTTCTTTCGCCAGGGCTACGGACGAGGGTTGCCCCTCGCCCGCGTGCATCAAGCGCCCCCGTATGTTGCGGGGCCAGGGGTGAGAGCAGGTGCAAAGCAACACGCAGGCAACCTGCATTCGAAAATGAAGATCATAACAAGCCAAGGCAAATATGACCAGTAAGCCCCTAAAGACCCTCTCCCCTCTCTCTCTCTCTCTCTCTCTCTCTCTTTGCTTTGCTTTGCTTCGGGGATGGGGCATGGGCGCTCTCTCTGTCTCTCTCTCTCTCTCTCTCTCTCCATTTGTATGTTTCTTTTCTTGGGTCTGTATTTTCTGTCCCTTCGCTCCAGCTTGCTGATCATCAATCTTAGCCAGGCCGGGCTGCTTCAGCCGCTCTTCGCGCAAGCGTGCGAGCTCCTGCCGAAGGCCATCATAAAAAGAGCGTCCAAACCCTAAACCCGAATTCCAAAACCCCACCAAATGCCCCAAGCCCCAAACCCTTTCGTATGCACAGGTTTGACTAATGCTCGCCCGGCTAGATTCCCGCAGCACATCGTGGCGAGATGCGAAAAGGCGGCTAAGTCTTAAGTACCAAACGCTGAATCCAAAACCTCTCAGCCTCAACCCTCAACCCCAACCCAAAAATCCCTGAGCTTAACCCCTAAACCCCAAAATTCCAAGCCCAAACCCTGCAAACCGCAATCCCAAGTCTCTAAACCTCTGCAAGGTTTCATCCCTCAACCCAAAACCCTAAAAACCCTCCCTAACGCCTTTTGCATCCAGGCCTATTGCGACTGCCCTAACCCCTAAACCCCGACTGCCCTAAGCTCTATTTACAACCCTGCAAGCCCTTTTAATTTTTTGCATGAGGACTTGTGCAGCCACCTGCAAGCCCTAGACCCTTTGCAGCACGGACTGAGGTGCCGGCCAGCGACTAGGCAACCCTCACCCCCTCTTGAGGCAAGAGCGCACACAAAAAGCTGTGGAAAACCACTAAACACTAAACGACTGCAAGTCCAAGTCCAAACTCCCATAAACCCGAAAACAAGCCCAAGCTCCCTAACGTCCTCTCGTCTCGCCACGTGTTCTTGCTGCCGGTCTGCCAGCCGCTGCTGCGCCTTCTCACGATGGCGCACCTGGGAGAAGAGAGGAACGTAATCACCATCATGTAATGTTGCATTACATCATGTAATTCAATATTAGCAGGGACCTATATCAAAACATAAAACAAAACAATCTAATGTAATGACATGTCATATCTAGTGCTTAGATGGGCACTTGGGGTTTCGGGTTTTGTCTCCCACATCGCAAAGCACGGCTTGCTTGTGGGGTGTATGGGGCGTAGGGACTTGAGACTTGGGGACTGCTGCCTGCTTTCGCACCGCGATCCCCGACCCCCCCTCAGCACGGCACTTTTGCTGAACCGTCCATGCGAAGCAGCCGGAAGGCCTGGCAAAAGGGGACAAGAAGTCAATGGCCAATGCTCCCCGAGCTGAACCGCAGGCCGCAGTCCTCTCCGAGCATGCTGCTCTTGATCTCCTCGTCCAATGCTGTTGGTGTGGAAAGAGATGGTGCCGAGTTCACCTCCAGCAGAAAAAGCCTGGCAGATGAGAGTCGAGCTGTCGTGTAGCGATATCCAGCTATCCGTGCGAGCCTCTCATCTTCGTCCAGGATGAAATCGAACCCAAGAATTTCGAAGCACGCCTGCACGCATCTTGCAGCTGTATCTTACTTGGGGGCTATGAAACCGGGACAGTTGAGAGTTGCGTATGGGCGACAAGTGAGGACAACTTAAAGCCTTAACTCTCTACCATAACCCCGTCAAGCTGCGCTTCTGCAGCCAGGCTCTTCCTCAAAAGACTGGCGAGTGCGCCCGAAGTAGCTGTGATAGTTCTCCTTCGAGGAATCCGGCTTGCCAATGTGTGCAGTGAAAAAAGCACAGATCGAACTCGCAACCGGCCTGCATTTTCGGGCCAATGGCAAGGAGTGTCTTGCGAACACACGTCGCGATCTCCGTCCAAACGCCTTGTCCTTACTGCTAGGCCGCTAGGCCTGAACCCTGCTGAACTTCTTACAGAACCCTTGAAAGAAACGCTGTAGACGACCCCGGTGCATTCTGTATGGAACTCACATTCCACCAAAGTCGACTGCCAAGCAGGTCTAAGCATGGGACCATCCGCCACACAGCAGTCCAGCACAGTTCGCAACGAACGCTTGCTGCCCGTCGCCCCATCTTCCGTGTCTTCCTTGCTGGGGCTGGCAGCTATTAGAGTCCATTTTTGCACTACAAATGCACGTGACTTGCCATACAGTGTCCTTTGCAAGCAGCTCTTTGCAACTGGGGGCTGGTCAAACGCATCACTCTCGTAGTTGATCGAAAAGTTGGTCAGGTGCATCTCTCGATCGCTCAGGTTGTCTGAAGCTGGCGGTTCATATGGATCTGTGCAAAAACGTGCCAAGCCGTCGGTGTACAGGTAAACCGTGAGAGGGTGGACGCTTGTGACGAGGACATACACTCGCATGTCCCACTTGTAGCCGTCAATCAGCATAGGTCTGCTCAAGAACTTCTGGACGATGAATTTGCTTCTCGGCTCCAGTACCTCAAAAGCTTGGGATGTTGCTGGGACATCCACGGCGGAATCTACGGTGTTGCTTCTATGCCGAACCCCTCAACATATCTCGCAGCTTCTTGGGCATCACCCTGGCGTTCCTCACTTGCACATCCCATGTGCTCTTAATGCCGCTGCTCGCAGTTTATGTCGAATTGAATACGAGGTTCCCGGTCCGGCTTGAGGTCAAACCCTCTCTCCTATTGCAGCTGCAAGTACACGTCGCAAAGCATCGCTGGCTGCGCCACCTCGCGCATCGGCGGCTCGGACCTGGATGGATTGCGGGATCCTTTGCACGCTACTCGACAGCACCCCCCCCCGTCGGTAGCCTGGAAGAGAAAAATGTCGACACCGCGGGCACCAGACCGTGGCTTCGCAATGAAGGTCAAGGCCTCCTCCTTGCACCCCAGGAGGGCTTGGACTCTCTCCCACACTCGCACAATGCAGGCACGGATTCCAGCACTCATGGGATTTGGAGTCTAGATTACGCTCTCACAACTCTGGAGGTCCAATATGTGCTGGTCGGCGTGATACTGAGTACATGACCGAAACTACAGGGTCTAGATTGGGGTTCAACAGTGAGGGCCCGGCGACATTCACAGACGAAACCCTCTCAAAGTCCGCCCTACCACCCTGCGGCCCATTCTTCTAGAACTGACCCACACCCCGTCTTTGCCTTCAAATCTTCCAAACACAGGCTAGGCATCCTCGTCATCAGAGTCGTCGGTGCTAGTCGCATCCGTGGATGTGCCTCTCTTGCCGAACACATTTCATCTGGGAATTTCAACGGGACCCTAATGGGGCCACAAGGTAAAATAGGATTCTCGTTCGAATAGGCCGAGCCCGGCAAGCTGGGGGCAAGCATCAGTGAAGCGCTTTACAACTCTACAGCCCTCCTACTCCAACCCATGCCTCGCCTTCTGCCTGCAGCACAAGGCGGGAGCGTTCGTGACCCTGTGCACGTGACTCACACTTCACGACCCATGCCCTCCCTGTCCTACCCTCTCGCTTGTTGTGGACGGCTCTGTCCCCACACTCCCACTCCCCACTCCCCTCGCAAACACTGCGTCTTGAACAAATCAAACGGCCGCCGCCAGCAACTCGTTGAGCACGTCAGTTTCGAGCGTAAGGATTCTGAGGTGTAGTGTTTTCCGGCTGTGGCAACCCTTCAATCCTGCCCTGCATCGTGGTCGTGCGCGTATGCTACGTAAAGCTATAGCATCGTCCCGGGTGCAGGAAGGCACCTGAAGCAGTTCTTGGTTATCTAGGACTTCGTCTGCTAGGTTGGGGTCTACCCGGCAGATGGCCCTAAACCCTAAACTCCCAGCCTGTGAGAGTGGTCGACTACAGACAGATCTAGGCTCCGCCTCGCCGCCAGCTAGGCCTAAACTCCCACAGAATACCTCTCTCACTCGAAGCCCAACGCGCAAATCCCTGCGTCAGGTTGGCAACATTGGGTTCCCCCAAGAGGAGTTTGGGACCCCCTGCCTGGGGGGCCCTTTGGGTTTCAGGGCCTTCGTGCCGATTGTCGGCCGCTGCACGAAAAAAACCCTCAAACCCTCAACCCTGAGCCCTAAATCCTGAGCCCGAAACCCTAAACCCCCAAAACCCCTAAACCCCTTTTTTTTGAGCGGGGGCTGCAGCGCACTTTGCCCTGATCCTTCAGCTACCGCAATGTTTGCAACGGCTGATCTGGGACTACTCGAGAACCCCTAAACCCCTAAACCCTGCACGCCCCCGGCGTGATGGTATCAAAGGATGCTCAAAGATCGACAGTTCCGATGGCTCTAAGAGGTTTAAGCGGCTCGGCTAAGCAGAGCGGGCACAGCACCTCACGTTTTCCACACTTGACCCTCGATGGCTGCGATCACCAGGGCCTGTAGAGAGCAGCACCAAGCTTTCAGCTTGCATGCCCCCTCCCCCCGGAAAGTTCTGAGACTGCTGTAGTAGCTACTCTTGACTCGTAATCTCTTTCTGCTTTGCTGGTGCTTGTTGAAGCGGCTGCAAACCTTCACCCTTCCGACGACGTGCGGACTTCATGTCGGGGTCCTCGACGATCCGCCAGGCGAAATTCATCCGGTAATATAGATCCATTTCCAGATTGCCTCCACTCTTGGTGAGGGAGTTCGCCAACTGGGCCTCCGAGTGGACCCATCTCATCACGAGATCCGTAGATTGTTGCGCCTCTTTGACGCTCAAGAGCTCAATGTTGCTTCTTTTCTCTGCCCCCTTGATCACCAGGACTTCTGTGTTCAGTTTGTCGAACACATTTCGGCTGTCCGTTATCAAGCATCCGCCAACACGGCGGACTGTTTCAGCAGGGTCTCGTAAGTTTACAGAGCCGTGCAACATCTCGGACCACTGGTACCTCGCGTAGAACAGAGCGTCTTCCCCGTTCACTGCAGCAGCTGTTTCTGCTGCCCCTGGACTGCGGCATTTTCTGTCGATGCGATTGGAGTGCCAGCTGATAGGACTAACAGTATCTACCTCACCTTGGAGCAATCGGGATGAGGCGGCGCCGATCAAGATGCCCTGAGTGCTTCCTCCGTCTGTCCTATTCTGGCTGGCAGCATCTACCCACGCATAGAACTGCATGTCCTCGTTACGACACCTCTGGATCAACAGCCTATGCCCCTTTCTGTTCCTCTCGCTTTGGAGGAGCTGGTTTGCTTTGATTAAGCTGTTCTTCGTGACCTCGGATAACATCAAACTGACATCCGCAGACAAGTGGGGACTTGTCTGTTGTGCGCTCCAGCTGAGAGCTCCTAGTAAGCCACGTAGTTGACTCTTCTCTTGATTGGTGGTGGGGCTCTTGAGGTCTTTTCGTCTTCGGGCGTTGACTGGGATTTCTTCTACGGTTTCCAGATACCTTGGCTGCGACAAGGCAAAACCCTCTGGCACAGACTCAATCTGAACTCCGCACTGCACGAAGCTATCTTGATCCCAATCTCCCCACTTGAAACGATGCTTAATCTTTTCCAAGATCTGAAGCCACCCCTGGTCCTCCTTGGAGCCTCCAAACAAGAAGTCGTCCACGTGGCCTGTGATTAACCCCCGTACTGGAGTGTTCACGCCTCCTGGTTGCCAGATCCAAGCGCAGGCATCTGACCATAATCTCTTGAGGCCAATGCTTTCAAGATACTCCGCCATGGTTCTATACCATTCCAAAGGAGCGTCCACCAGGCCGTAACAGGCTCGCTTGAGCTTCGTGACTGATCCTTCTGGTATCTCCATGCTTTGGCAGATCTCTGGACAGGGGATGCAAAACAGGTCGTCTGGGTATTCCCTCCCCTGGAGGAATGCTCCAGTAATGTCTCCCTTCTGAATAGACCAGCGGTTGTTCGCACACAGTTGTAAAAATAATTGTCTGGTCTGTCGGGTCATGACAGGAGCCGTCGTAGAGCGGTTCTCATAATTGGGGTCTTGATACCCCAGCAGCACCGCCCTCGCCTTGGCTTTCACTCCCCCGTCTTCTTTGACCTTCCAGGTCAAGATCCATCGCATGCCCACTGCCTGCGTCTTGTCTGGCTGCAGGTGTGCTGGAAGTGCCTCAAAAGCTCTAGCAGAGATGAAATTGCGCACCTCGGTGGCCTTGGCCTCTCTGAATTTCGCCTTGTCCTCATCGCTGAGTTTGCGCTCACACACCTCCACTGCCTTTCTCTTCAAGGCTCCCACGAGGAACCCTTGGAAGTTCTTCAACATGTGATCTTGGCCCCGCCTCGTCTCGGGCAGTGGAACCTCTATCTCAACTGCCTGGTGCTCGTCCAACCAATATGAACAAGCTTCGGCGGACCATGCATGCTCCGGAACCTTGTCTGACCAGTGAGGCTCCTCACTGTCAAGTAACTTAGGACCGATGTATCCGGCGGTCCTTCGCATCACACTTGGCTGACTTGGTTCTGGTTCCTCGTCTCCCCAGTCTTCAGGATCTACGGCTTCTTCACCAGTTGTTCGAGGATTGGGCCTTTTTCGGGTGATTCTGTGTCTAGCGGGCTGCTGTTCCTGTTGGGGATCTTGGGCCCTGCTCCATTCATGCTCGCTGGGCTTCTCGTGGCTAATGTCCTCGTAGCTGTTTCCCCCCACGGCTTCGGCAACCCTGCTAAAGGTCCACGGTGCAGTTTGTTCTGGCCCCAAGGCTTCAAGCAACTCCTCTCGGTCACTGGCAGGCCGGAGCTGCTCTGGGCTGCACTTCAAGAGGCTCCTACCCCTTACGCACCAGACCGCATGACCTGGACGGCTCCCGCCTTCTTCTCGACGTGTCTCCATCGCGAGAATTCGCGCTGGGCCAAGGAATCTTCCTTGGTTCGTTCCTGGCTGTTTCTTATGCCGTCCTGACTCCTGGGTCCTCCAGAAATAAACAAGATCACCTGGTTGGTACACTTTGTGGGGTCGGGTCCTACTGTTCAGGGCTTTCGTGATTCTTTGTTGAGCCACCCATTCTGCGAGCCCCTTCTCGGCCTCAGCTCGCCTGCGGGCTTCTTGCTCGAAAACACTCCTAGGTTGGTTCAACACCACTTCATTCTTCTTCAGGAAGATTTCCTTCGTGAGGGAGGAACCTACCCATAGCATCAGGGGCCTGACCTAGCACATGTTGCACCGGTGAGAACCCTCGTACCATTTCCTTCTGGTTAAACACGGACACCGACATACTAATGGCCTCCTCGGCGGTTGTGGAGGGATCTGCTTCACAAATCTTCGTCATCAAACTCTTGATTCCCTGAACAGCCTGTTCCGCCAACCCTATCTGCCAGTGGGCCTCTCCCGGAATCACGTCGTGATAAATGCTG